TCTGCTCCCGGCAGCGGTAACGAGGCTCTGGGCCGGGGCCTCTGGGAGGATTTGTCTGCTGATGTGATTTTGGATGCTGACAGGGAAGAGCCTCACCCAGGTAACAGCTGATTTAAAGTACCAGTGAGGTAGAGGAAATCTGTAGAATCACACATGGTTTGGGTGGGAAGGGACATTTAAAGCTCATCTAGTCCAACCCCCTGCAGTGACAGGGACATCTCCAACCAGAGCAGGTTGCTCACAGCCCCGTCCAACCTGACCTGGAATGTTTCCAGGGATGAGGCTTCTACCACCTCTCTGGACAACCTGGGCCAGTGTCTCACCACCCTCAGTATAAAAAATGTCTTATAGCCAGTCTAAATCTCTCCTCTGTTAGTTTAAAACCATTTCCCCTTGTCCTGTCACTGCAGGCCCTGCTGAAAAGTCTGTCCCTGTTCGTGTTTGTGCACCAGGGGTTTGATTTTTTATAAATCAGAGGGATCTGTGTGCTCGTACCTGCCAAGCCGTGGTGGGTGTGTGCAGCTTGTTTTGGTAACCCCAGGCTGTGCAGGTGCAGGGCTGTCTCTGGCAGAAGCTGCTGGTACTGGGGTTGCCAGACTCCCTGTGTGACGTTCCAGAAATGATGAGCAGCAATCTCTCGGGGTGTTACTGAAAGAAAAGCACTTAAGGAAACGTAAAATAATCGAATGGCTGAATGTACTGAGGAGAAATATTGAACCAGGAAAAGAGATCTCTCTTGATTTAACAAAAACCCAACCAAACCAAACCCCAAAAGACCCCGATCCTTGATTATGACCAAGAAGTTGATGACCATCAGTCAGAGTGCTTCCCTGGCAGCTCTGGGTTCCTCTTTGCTTCTCTTTTCTGTGCCTTACCTGTTATTTTTTGAAGCTTTTGACCTTTATTTGTGAAATTGATAAAGCTTCTGCTACAGGATGATTTTGAACACTGTCCTGTGCTGCTGCCATTACACTAAATGGCAAAAGGATTTCTGAGCTGTGTTTTTCTTCTTAAGAATATTTTGTGGCCTTTTCCCCTCTTTCTGTGAAATGAATTTTAATAAATTAATGATACTGGCCTTTCTTAGTAGGATTTATCTTGTAAGGCATGATCCATGTAAATTTAGCTCTGAATTCCAGTACAGGGGCTATGGTGGTTGGTGAGTCTCTACCCTCTTTTTAAGACAGTATTTAATACAACAATAGTTTTCTATAAATCTCTTGTAGGACAATACAGCTCTTATGTTTTTCTCTTCTCACAGGGAAAGGTAACTCTAGGTAAGCTGTATAACTTTTCCACTTCAAAGAGGGTTTGTGGGGGTTTCTTCCATTTGTTTTTTATGGGGGAGAATAAAAGAGCAGTGAGACTTTTTTTTTTGTCCTTTAAAGTTCAGAAACTGTTTTCAAGGAGTGTTTTGAAATCTGGCTAGGAATTTTTTCCCTCTGTTCAGTTGCATTTTTGTTTGTACTAGAATGAGTTTACAGTGTTACCCAACAGCATTGATACACTTCTCTTCCAGCTGCTAAGGATAAAAGTGGGGAGAGCCCAAAGCTGAGCAGTGGTGAGAAAAACAGTCCCCCAGAGCTGGATGGGGCCGATGTGGAGCCGTTCACAGGCGCTGAGCTTGAGGAGGTTGATTGCTTAGATATTGTTCCACCCTCCCCTGAAGAAGAGCTGCCTTCCTTCTCACCTTCTGTGAAAAGCATCAGGTAGAACAAAGTTCCTTGAGAAAACTGTCCGTGGAAAGTGCCAGAAAAGACACGAAACTGGTGCTTGTTAGAAAGTTGCAGATCGAGTTGATCGTGTCTGCTGCTTGGCAGCTGAGCAGTTGACAGCTGCTATTACTGTTCTTTGAAATATTTTTTTGCTTTATGGCCAATGTTTAAGGTGGCTTTGGCTTCTGAAAAAGCAGAATTATTTTTCCTTTTGTAATGAGAGGGGGAAAAAAAATTATTGAAGCCAAAGTCTCCACACGTTGGAGCACAGGACGAGTGAGAAACTGCTCAGCTACCTGGATTTTCACTGGGTTTTCAGGCATTTGTTTCTCTTTTATATATTTTAAATGCTGTTATTTAAAAAAAATAAATGTCTTTTGTGGAAATGCATTGATTTACAGATATCTGTATTTTAATGACTTTTTCTTTCAATATTAGTAATATTTTCAAAGAATCTCCTTCTGGTGGAAGATGCACAGCTGGCAGCGCCGAGGCCAGGCCTGGGACGGTTGCCACGACGCAGCCTGCTGCTGAACGTGGTGCTGAACGTGGTGCTGGTGCAGAGGATGCAGGTACACAGAACACTTTGATGCCTTAGATTGTGAGGAGGGTTTGCAACTTGTTCTCCTGTGTATCCCATGTCACCTGAGAGCTTCAGCTGACAGTGACCGCGGGGACCGAGGCTCCTGCAGGGTTTTCAGGTGTTGTGGGCACGTTGTGGGGACTCAGGGTGTTGTCTGATCCTGATTCTGGGTTTCTGGGCACCAGTCTGGGACACCTGACAGATGTCCTGTTCAAAGCTTAAAAGCAGAGATGGAGCCAGTCGCAGCTCCATGAAGGCAGCTGGGGCACAAGGACCCGGGGCTGTGAGCTGGAGCTGTGGCATTGCCTCTGTTTGAGTCCCACAGGCTCTGGCTTTGGGAAATCCTGAGCTAAAATGTTTCTGAGTTTCACTTGCAGCATGAACAGTTACTCAGTATGGGTGTGGCACAGCCTGGTTTGAAGGCTGCAGGTCTTTCCCTCAAGATATATAAAAAAGTGGTTTATGGTATCTACAGTGTCATTCAAAGTTCAGTGTTTAAAAATGCCCATAGCAGTGTTTTTATATTTATGTTTTAATGATCCTCTTCTGGAAATGAGTTTAGTTAAGCTCCCTCTTGTCATACTCCAGTGTCCCTCTAGCAAACTTCTGGCTAATCTGGGCAGTTAGCTGCTTGTGACCACCAGGTAAATCAGAGTTTGGCAGGTGTAGCAGAGGCCAGAATTTAGTCTGAGGGGTCACACCCTGTCACAGTGGTTTGGGGTCTGGTGTGGCTCCTTGGTAAAACCCAGATGATTTGCCACACTTGGAAGGGAAGGTCATGAGGTGACAAATGCTGGGACGTTTTCAAAGGTACTTTCTAGACTAGAATTGCAGTGTAGTATTTGGATAAAATGTGTTTCAGTGTGTTTGGGGAGGGGTGATTTGAGATCAGCAAAGTGTGTGAAATGGAATGCTTTCTGGAAATAAATCTGAAAGAACTGCCATGAGGTTTGGGAAATAGATGGATAATTAAAAGGCAAGGGCACAAACATGTGAACTAATTAAGTCTGTGCACACAGAAACAGTTTATTTGTGTGAATGGACTTTTAAAAATATATTGAGATACTATACTTAGACTTTTTTATTACCACTTGCTCTGTCTTTTGAGAGAGTGATATCATCCGGTTACACGTTCTAATAAAAACTATTATCACTGTGTGCTAAAATCACCCCATCTGACAGAGGAAGGCTTGCACTTGGAACAGCAGCTCTGCAGCGTCATGGATGACATCTGTAAGCTGGTCGATGCCATCCCACTTCACGAGCTTCAGTCTCTGTCGTGTGCGAAGGAGCTCCTCCAGCAGAGAGACCTCAGGTACCTTCACACGCAGCCCTCCGCGTCCCTGCGCTCGCTCTCAGCTGGGGCTGTGCCTGCAGGTGTCCCCATCACACCAAAAAGACAACACACAAGGATTTTTTTTTTTTAAAAAAAAAAAGCTTAAAATTACTGACCCAATGAAGAAAAAAAATCCCCCAAACCTGCTGAAAGTATTAACAGTGCCAGTGTTCTGCCAGGGGAACGGATCCGTTCCCCAGTCAGTCTGGAGCACAGGTAGTCCTGTGTCTTTTCTCTGCAGGTACAGATCTGGCAGCACCAGGTGCTTCCAAAGAAGCAGGGTGATGTGATATAACCTGCCAGGTGTCTTGTAACCACAGGCATTAATTTAATATTTCCTCTGTGAGACTTGCTGTCACTGACTGCAGTGATTATGACTTCTCCTGATATCCATGGACTCGGCATCTTTCAATCTGATTGTTGCTTCTGCCGTCAGCTTCTGTAGCTTCTGCATAATCTGATGACACAACACGTGGACAAAGGATTTTGGTTTGGTTTTTTACTGGACTGGGACTGTGTGCTTTTGCTCAGAAAAAACCTGTGTCAGACACAGTCTTTTAGAAAGGACATAAAAACCTGATTTGGTTCAAGCAGATGTTTACTTTTTTAACTTCAGGTTTGGCCTCTAAGGATTTTTATTATTTTTTTTTAATGCTCTGCCTTGCCTGGATCACTTCCTTGCTATTAGAGATTCTTTTCTTTTAATGTTTGCAGGGAAGATGTAGTAGTTTTGTAATTATATTGTTCAACTGAGTTCTGGTGTCATTCTCTCTTCCCTAGATTCGTTTGAAATATTTTTATAATATAGTGACAGACAATATGATGTACCCACTATATGGCAGTGTTTTTAATAGGGGAAAGACAAAACTGTTCAGTGCATGTTGTAGAACCTGATAAATCATTGCTTGTGACTAAATAATTTTTTTTCCTTGTTCCTTCCCTTGCCATCTCTCCCAGGAGGAAATTGCTGGCTAATTCTGTCCCTTTGAACAAAAGTAGCACAAACAACACTTTTCCTAGAAACTGGAAGGCATGTGTGGACCGTCCTGGTTCTGCTCTGTGCTCTGGCCTGAACAGGAGCTTCAGTTCTGACAGAAACTCACCCAAATCCACAAACCTCCCGTCTGTCCTTTCTGGAACTGTCAATTCCAGCAATTTTTCTACCAAAAAAAATGAAACATTTAATACCTTGGATACCTCTTCTGCTTCCAAGGAAAGTATTGAGGAGATCACCTGCCCCAAAACTACAGCACTGTTTTCTCCCAAGGTAAATGGCAAAGAGGGAACTTCCCTCAGCCCCTGTTCTGAGCTGTCCTTTGACAGCAGCTGGTGTGAGGGACCAGGGCTGAGGAACCGTCATCCGCCGGAGCGACCCGTGACGAGCACAGCTCTGAAAGATCAGAGCAAAGCTGCTGCTGGCCTTCCTGCAGAAAACAGCTTAGCTGCACACGACACAGACTTTGACCTCGATCACTTTGATATCGATGATTTTGACGAGGACTGGGAGAATTTGGTGAATGTTTCGGCACCTGAAACGCCATCTGAGCCGTTGTATCCGCCCGTCGGGGAAGGGCCACCTGCAAGGTCGCTGCTGTCAAAGATAATGTCCAGAGCCAAGGGATCTGCTGTTGTATCAAACCCTGCTGCTCCCAAATCGAGCTCCTCGATGGCAACAAAGAACCGTTCAGGTAAATGATGATCACTAGGATTACTGTCTTTATTTTTGATTTACTTGTTTTTAAACCCAAGGCCAAGTACCTTCCTGTAGGTGACATCAATGCCTTTTGTTCCTGTGGAAATGTCTTTTGGTTTCTCTTTGCAAAGTCATCTTCTGTTGTGGTTGGTTTTGTTTGTGGGTTGTTTTTGTTTTTTTTTTTCCCTCCAAGTGATGACAAACTTCTTGAATATTTATTTACCGTGCAAGTTGCAGGCTGCTGGGAAGAGGAAGCTGCTAAAGTTGGAAAGTGGAATGTTTCTGTGATTTTAATTAAATAATGACTCTGCAGTTGTTAATTCAAAGCTGTACAACAGTTTTAGCTGTTCATGCAAAATGGTCAAAACCAGGCACTTGTTGAAGCAAAGCCAATCCCTCTGGGGCACAGGGGGCTCAGGGTTATTTGTGGCTGCTGCAGGGGTGGGTGTGCAAAGGGGAAGGTGGAAATGTTCATGTTTCATCAGCTTCCCTGTCGCTGATTCAGCAGCACCACGTAGCTTTAGGTCACCGTGAAGGGGGACCCTGTTCCGAGGTGTTTGAGGCAGAGATGACGAGCGCCAGTGTACGGCTGTGCCTTTTACACACTCATGAGTAAGAAGCTTGTGTCCAGAGATTTGCATCTAATCAAAAGTCACACTTCAGCTCATCTTCAATTCTAGTTGAATGCCAATTTTTTTCGTAGCTCATGATTTGAGTTTGGAAGGTTTAAAGGGTTGAAGCGGAGTGAAGCAGTTTTATGTTGCAAGAGGGATGGCACAACCTGACAGTGTAACTCCTTGTCAGTACCTTTTCTTTGTCTCCTAGATCCCACGGTCAATAACCCCGCACTAGAACGTTTCAGGGGTATGAAATTTTCCCATTCTGAGGAAATGATGAATATATTTCACAGAAAGTTTGGTTTGCACTATTTCCGGACGAATCAGCTGGAGGCCATCAACGCTGCTCTTCTGGGTGAAGATTGTTTCATCTTAATGCCCACTGGTACGTACCTGGGAACACCCCGCAGCTGCAGGCACCTGAGGTCTGGCATGTACCTGAGAAACAGGGACCTGAAGCTCCTTTTGTGACAAACTTTTCTCTCTCTCTGTGCCTTTGTGGAGGTGGTGATAAATTGTGCTGCTTGATTCCCGTGGCTGCAGGATTTCTGGAATGTTGTCTGCACTGCGGTGTTTTCAGGGAGGTGATTGAATTTCTGCCTGCTGTAATATTTCCTGATAACACTTCCTTATCCTACAGGTGTCGTAGTAGAGGCAATCATGGGTAAAAGCTCATTGTTTCTGAAAATGCTGTAAAATGGGAAGTAAGAAATAGGTCTCCCCTCTTCCCCTCCTTCTCCACACTGTCTCCCTTCCCTCTTGGTGTCTGACATTGGTTGTGTTCTGTTTAATCCTTACAGGAGGTGGTAAAAGCTTGTGCTACCAGCTCCCAGCCTGCGTCTCTGCTGGAGTCACTATTGTTATCTCTCCGTTGAGGTCGCTGATAATAGATCAAGTTCAGAAACTGAAGAGTTTAGATGTAAGTTCAGACAGCTTCATTTCCTTAAACTGCAGAGAAGTGAATTAGAAATCTGAACCTTGACACTAAATCTTATGTCTCTCAAATATAAACTGCAAAGATTGATTAGATGGAAACTGTAAAAGGCACACCAAGTTGTCTAGGAAGAACTAAAGTAGAATATCTTGGCAGTCTTAACTGGTAAATGTATTGAAGATTTGTGTATTTGTTATTGGAGCTTAGTTTTCAAGCACAGATACCTGATTCTCAGATTCTGAGAGCTGTATTTAGACACCTCAGCAGGAGCAGCCTGGCTCTGTAGCGGAAAGAAGCACTAACAGTTCCTGAGCTAGGCAGATTCTGGAGATCCTAAGCATTTCTGGAAAAAGTAATGCACAGAGAAAAGAAATGGACATGCAGAAGATGTGTGTTCCTAAAGCTGACCACTTCTGAACTGCTTCTGCATCAGTGAAGTGGCTTTTTCATCCTCAGTGTGTTATCAAGGTGGAGAGATCAGAGAAACAAAGGTGGATAACACATTCCAGGGCAAAAATACAGAGATGTTCTGGGGTACAAGGCTGAAGGGACTGTGTTGCAGGGCTTTGAAGCTGAGACAAATCCTCCTTTTGTCAAGTAGGGTTTTTGAGAGTCCAGAGAGTGGTTGTCTGCCCTGTGGTGACTGTTGCACGACCTTACGCTCTGGCCACACTCGCTCTTTCTGGCTGTGGGGTGCCCTGGCTGTAGGAGCCAGTTAAACTGGCTCTGTGACTCCGGGGGGTTCGTAGCTGTAGGAGGAATTTCCTCTGCAGAGCTGCAGCTGCCTCTTGTGGGAGGAAGAGCCCAGCAGGCAAAATGGACTCTGTTGGTGTGACCCAGCTTTTGTCCTGAGGATCCAATTCCTTTATTACTGTTCAGCTTGAATCGTAAATTCTATGTTCAAATTTAATCCTAAGTTGCAGTTCCAAGTTGTATTCAACCTCCTCTGATGCCAAGTGGTTCCGTGTTTGTGAGCTCTGTTATTGAGGCTGTTACCATGTTTTTGTGCCTCTTGGAAACAGGGATCCAAGTTTCCTGAATTCAGTCTCAAACTTACAGGGTATCGAGCAATAAAGAAACATCTCATCTGTTTTCTTTACTGGGAAGAGAGTTCAAAGAAGGTGGACAAATCCCCGAAGTCAGCTCGTGGACTGTTGGTAGAATTGGAAGCACAAGAATAGAATTTGGTTTATAGTCTTTTGGTTTTATCACGAGACAAATTTAGTGATGTCTGCAGTACGGTGAGGGTTCAAGTGTTATCTGTAATTACACAGAGAGACACTGAAAATGTTACTTACACTGAGGATAGGATGTGCAAGTGCTTTTTTATCTGGTTTATAACTAGATGTAGGACTGTATTTGGAGATGCTTCCATTTTGCACATATTAAAATTTAATACTTTTTTTTTTTTAATATAGATTGCTGCAACCTATCTGACTGGTGATAGAACAGATGCTGATGCTTCAAAAATATATATGCAATTGTCAAAAAAAGATCCTGTAATAAAGCTCCTGTATGTTACCCCTGAGAAGGTTTGTATTTAATTTGAATTGTAAAATCACGGGGGCCACAAGAGGTGGATTACTGTGAAGTACTAAAGGGGAAACACTGAATCTAGAGTCGGCTTCTGGGGAAAAAAAGTTGTTAAATATTTTTTAGATAATTCAGTAAGACTCTGTACGGATGTAACTAGTTTAAATCAGTAATTAATCAAGAATGAGAACTGAATATGTCTGTACAATTTAAATTCTTAAAACAAAAACCCCATGCCCATCCATTTCAATCTATCTTACCACATATTAGTGGCTAATTGCTGTCAAGTAGCTATTAAAATCTAGACTACTATGAATAGGACAGTGCAGGGAGAAAATATGTCACTGCCAAGGTAATAGGTGATTGTCAAAAGATTGCCTTGTCCTTAATTACATGCTGCCTTTAAAAATGCTCTTACTCCACCAGAGCTTTGTAAGAGGGGCCTGTGCGTTGTGCTGGTTTTCTTTCCTTCTTCAGCACTGTCTCTCCCTGTCTCTCATGACACGAGTCATTTCAACTCACCCAGACTGTAGAAGCTCTGGGCAGCTGACCCAGCACCTTGCGGGAATCCCACCCCAGCTGCTTTGTTGCCAATTAAAAGGAAGCTGATTGCCATCTTCTGCATGCCTTAGAGCTTTACCTGTGGAGTCAAGATTAATTTGCTGTACAGAACAGTTGTTTCTGTGTTCTTGGGCAGGCAGGGTGACACTCTGCTCTGTTAGTTCTCTTTCTGATGCTGCTGGTGGGTGTGTACCTAGGTGTGTGCAAGCAGCCGCCTGATGTCAGCCCTGGAAAATCTCTATGACAGGAGACTCCTCTCACGTTTTGTCATTGATGAGGCCCACTGTGTCAGCCAGGTAAAAACCTTCAGCTGGTTTTCAAAATGGCAAAAGGCTTGGTTGGAGCATCCGACTCTGTCACACTGAGATTTTGTTTTTTAAACCAGTGGGGTCACGATTTTCGACAAGACTACAAACGACTGAACATGCTCCGCAGGAGGTTTCGCGCTGTTCCTATGATGGCTCTTACTGCCACTGCGAACCCCCGAGTGCAGAAGGATATTCAGAATCAGCTGGAGATGCTAAAACCACAAGTGTAAGTTGCTCAGCAGTTTCCTGAAACGGTTTGTTTGTGCCGCAGAAATTTTGAGTGGAAAACTTAGTAAAGTAAGAAAAGTATTACAGCTCCATCTGACATGCTGGTGTCGTTGGAGCTGATTAAATTCCACGCATACATCCTCATTTAATGTGAGGTAAATGCAAAATGTTAAAGTCAGAAGAAGAAAATTTGCCAGACTCTCCCTGGCATGATTAAGGAAGCTGTTTAATAGAAAACAACATCGTGAAATTTTTGATGTCACGACAAAACGGGCGAGTTGTACTTTAGGGTCCTTTTCATGAGAACTGCAAAAGCTGGAAGTGTTTTTTAATTAGCATTGGCAGTAATGTAGATAATGAGGTACCATTGGGCCTGGATTGTATTGTAGTGTTTTCATTGTGCCTGGTGGAAAAAGAAAGCATTCTGTTTTGTTGAATTTCTTATTTTAGAAATATATTTTTGGGTAGAAGGAGGAAAGTGACACTATATTTTGCAAATTTGACCAGTTGAACGTGGATGTGAATATTCAAAAGAAAAAATGAAGGCGAGGCAAATCACTGTGTGTGTGTGTGTGTTTGGTTTATGGGCATTTCTTCCTTCTCCATCGTGCCATGTAGCTTTGCTTTTTTTTCCACAGCCACAGGAAAAATGTAGGAATTTTAGAGCCAAAGTATGGGTGCCATCAGTGTCTGTGGCACAGTAATTCCTTTGCAGATAGTGCAGAGCCAGCAGTCAGTTGAATTTGGGATGTTCCAGTCAATACCCAGCTTGTTGAACGGATTGCTGCACCCGTAAGGCTGACGAGCACCCCTAACTCTCATGTTTTAGGTTTACAATGAGCTTCAACAGGCACAACTTGAAATATGAAGTATTGCCCAAGAAGCCAAAGAAGGTGGCGATGGATTGCTTGGAATGGATTAAAAAATATCACCCACGTGAGTCCTGAGCAGCAGAGTGTGCTTGTCTGCATTTGTGTGAATTCCTTCTTAAGGCAGGAAAAGCTTTTGTAGTGCTGTGAAACCCCAAACTTGTGCCTTTCTGTAAGTGACGTGAGATATTTACAAGAACAGCAAGTTGGAGGCAAAATAACGTCATTGATCATGGGAATTGGATTTATGGGCATCCTACAGTTAAGAGTTCAAGTGGAAGAATAAATGATGGTAATGCTCTTGAGTCATCTTTCTGGAGGTTGCCAGACCTTTCAGCCTCGTGTCTTCAGGGCATATGGGACATGTCCATGCTGTTTTAATTGTTTAATTCTGTTGGTCTGCTTATCTGAGGATCTCTTCAGAGATTCCTGTCTTTCTAGGCTGTCTTTTGAAGTCCTGCAGCTCCACCAACCTACACCCACCTCCCTTCGTAGCTTCTGTGGTGCTGTTATGTAGTTCTTTATTCTTGTATTTTAAATCCTAACATTGCACAGTACTGAGCAGGAAAACTTTTATTGATTCCACCTCACCAAAAAAACAGGAAATTGGGTGAGGAGAAACCAACAGAAACGGTTGATATTAATATTTTATTTTTTAATTATTTATTAAATAATAATTATTATTAATTACTTTATTATTAAGCCATTATTCCATTACACTTACCAACCTCTCCCTGTTGGAATAAATGCATTTGCTTGGCAGGTACGACCATTAAGTGGGTGAAAGGGAATAAAGCTGTATTGTAGGACAAATCTCTCTTTATGTATTTGCAGATGACTCTGGAATAATTTATTGCCTTTCACGTCACGAATGCGACACGACGGCAGCTATTTTGCAGAAGGAAGGTCTTGCTGCACTTGCCTATCACGCTGGCCTCACTGACTCCGACAGGGACCTCGTACAAAAGAAGTGGATTAACCAAGAAGGGTGCCAGGTAAAAGAAAAGCAACTGGGGGGGAAAAGGGGAAGAGAATTTAGAGCAGTTTTATCCCTCTTGGCCTAGTAAATGAACGCCAAGTTGTGTAACATTATTGCCAAATCGGGTGCAGTATTAAATAACTGATCCAAACAGATCTGCCAAAACATGTTAGCCATCTTTTTATTGGGAATGTTACAAACCAAAGACTGCAGCACCAAGGTACAGCACTGCAGGAGGAAGGAACTGGGCAGTACCAGGCTTTGGAACAGCTCGAGGCTCGCTGCTGAATTGGATATTCAGAGGGGAGGTTTAGATTAGGTATTAGGAAGAAGTTCTTCACTGTGAGGGTGGTGAGCCCGTGTCCCAGGTTGGCCAGAGAAGCTGTGGCTGCTCCTCCCTGGAAGTGTTGAAGGCCAGGTTGGATGAGGCTTTGAGCAACCTGGTCTAGTGGAAGGTGTCCCTGCTGCTGGCAGGGGGGTTGGAACTGGATGAGCTTTCAGGTCCCTTCCAATCCAAACCATTCTATGATTCTATGATATTGAGACTCAAATTTGGAGTTTGCTCTTTGTCTGGGAACAGCCCTTCTGAAGGGAGAGGTGGTTTTGCTGTTTGCTCCCTGTCTTGCAGTGTTACAGTTGAAGTTGCAGGTTCTGTGCAGTTTGGGTGCAGAGTTCTGCATGAATAACTTCACTCTTTGTAACAAATGATTATTTCCTTCCTAGGTCATATGTGCAACAATTGCCTTTGGAATGGGAATCGATAAGCCTGACGTTCGCTACGTTATCCACGCTTCTCTTCCTAAGTCTGTAGAAGGTTACTACCAGGAATCTGGCAGAGCTGGACGAGATGGTGAAATGTCTCACTGTCTGCTCTTCTACAGCTACAGTGATGTCACCAGGCTGAGGCGGCTGATACTGAGTGAGTTCTCGTGTCCGTAACTTAACGGGGATAATATCCAAAAGTCACTTGGTTCCTGGTCTCTGTTTCGTTTGGACTGGGTTATTTTCTCATTTAGAAGTGCTGTATATAGTTTGGCATTGCAGAGATGGGAGAGGTGCAGAGATGGGAGAACTCACCATCTTTACCTGAATGTTTTTTCGTAATGAAATATTTTTGTCACTTGTACTTAATTTTAGCCAAAAACATTTGGCTTCATACGTATCCATCTCCTGAATCTGGTCACCCTAGTCTTCTTTCCCTTCTCCATTCTTTAAAACTTCAGAGATAAAATCTGTCCTAGGTTAGTTCCATACTAACCTACTCATCTTTTTTTAAGCAAAAAATAATACTGTGTTTTGTCTAGAGGATAATATATAAAAATGCAGAGGTGCAGATTTAACAAATACAATTGAATTTATTGCATTTCAGTGGAGAAAGATGGAAACAGTCACACAAGACAGACCCACTTTAACAACCTGTACAGTATGGTTCACTACTGTGAGAACGTGGTTGATTGCCGGAGAATTCAGCTTTTGGCCTACTTTGGGGAAACTAATTTTAATCCTACCTTTTGTAAAGATCACCCAGAAGTAATTTGTGATAACTGCAGTAGAAACAAGGTAAAAATCGTAGCTCTTTATTTATAGTGTTGTTAAACTGATTTTGCACTTAGCTGCGTTGGAAAAGGGTTACGTGACATTTGGGAAGGAAAATGGAGAAAATGAATAAGGTGTCTCGTATTTTTGTGATGCTGGGTGCTTCAAATTATTTCTGGGGTTTAACCTAGATTAGAATTACAGACTATCCATGGATTTATGATGCTCCTATTTCTGTCAGAGGAGGTCTAGTGAGGTGTAAGGATGCTCCTTAGTGTTGATTTCCTTAGCTCAGTGTTTCTGGGAAGCAGGAGCTAATATCAGATCCACTGGAATGGCTCTGGGGAAATCCCTCATCCCTGATGTTTCCAAGGCAGCTTTGTGCTGCCAGAGTAGCATGAGTGCCATGTTAGGAGGTGTACACTGCTGGGGGTGGCTCAGAGATTAGGGTTTGTGCTTCAAGGTGTGAAGGATACTTGTTAGTGTCATGAAGAGGAGTAGAAGAGGAGAGAGCTGGTGAAGCAGGCAGGGGAGGTTACTGGTCTCTATAAACCAGATCGGTTTTGTACCTGATGATACTGCTTCTCAGTCCTGTGCCTGAAGGATTACCTCACATAGCTCTGATTGTAACAAAAATTGACTAGAAAAATGCATATTCCGTCCAGTCTTCTCATTTTAATGTGTTTTGGAAGTGTAAATTCTAGTGCATGGCAGCAGAATGATTACAGGAATGCTTTCGGAATGATCTACCTCAGTTACCGGCCTTGGCACAGCAATCCTGCTGCTCCCTCTGTAAAAGGAACACAATAGAGATTATAAACAATCAGTTGGTCTGTATTATTGCATTTTCCAGAGTATTGTCAAATCCAGAATTCCTGTCACTGTATTGTATCTCTGTAGGTGTGCTAACTAGAAAACCACTATTTCTGTGTTTGGAACAAGATGAATTCTTGACTGGAAGAAGCTCAGTGATGGAAAACAAGGTGGTCAGTGACAACTGGCATTAGGGCAAAACCACGTAACGTTGTTTCCTAATCAAGTCTATTTTAATAGGATTACAAATCAAGAAATGTAACGGATGAAGTGAAGAGCATTATCAGATTTGTACAAGAGCATTGTGGACAAATGGGACGAATAAATGCAAAGAGAAATACAGCTTCTGGAAGATACACGTTGAATATGATGGTGGACATTTTCTTAGGTAAGTACGGGTCTTCCAGAACCAACACCTGCATAGACCTGGTGCATAAATCCCTGACTCAGGATCAGGAGGTCTGTGCAATACCAGCAGTGGTTTAAAACAATATACATTTTGCAAAAATATTCTTCCTAGGAATGTACTGGTGGTAAATGATCCAAAATAAATGAGGCTAAAGCTTTAATCCATTTCAGGTTGCTATAGTGATAATATTAGTTTTCTGGTGGTGGCTGGAGTTTCTGGTGCTTAAATGTGGGGGTTTTTATGTCCACAGACTATGGAATACCCTTGGGAATCATCCCCCCGTCTGTAAATACATACACAGATAGGTTTTCTAATCGCAGGCTGATCCTGTGATTCCTGTTGTGCAGGTACAAAGAGTGCAAAGATTCAGTCTGGAATCTTTGGGAAGGGAGCTGCCTACTCGAGGCACAATGTGGAAAGACTGTTTAGGAAGCTGGTCTTGGACAAGATTCTGGATGAAGACTTGTACATCACAGCTAACGACCAAGCGGTGGCCTATGTAATTCTAGGAGAGAAAGCTCAAGCTGTGCTAAATGGATCACTACACGTGTGTACCCATTTTTTTTTTCCTCTACTATATCGTGTTAAGGAACCTGCTACAGCTTTTATGTGGCATATACCCTAGGACAGTGTAAACATAGTGTGTCTACCAGCTGAAGTACAGGAACTAATCTAAACTACAGGAACTAACACTAAAATGGATGCAGGGGACAGAATCCATCAAGCATGATTTCTAGTCCAGTATTCTAATAATAAAGTTCTGAGGCAAAAGGGGAGTTTGGGAGGATTGGAGAAGATTAAATCTTGCTCTTCTCCCCTCCATCCATCTGATTCCAGCTTGACAAGAAAGGAAAGTTATGACCAACACAGAAAAAGCTGTGAAGAAAAGAAGGAACAGCGCTACCTTCTCTGCATTTTCTGCTCTATTTTTTTCCAGTCATTGGTGAGCTCTGATGGAAAATGCACTTCAAGAAGGTCATGGAACCAGGCCCAGAATTGCTTGAGGCAGTGTCTCCTCTGCATTAGTGCTGTGTTTGGAGAAGAGCAGAGCCCTCAGCATCAGACCTAGTGACCTCTGTTTAAAGCTAGCTGTAAATTGGGTTCTCTGGATTTTTTCCCTGTGTTGTGTATAATCTGCTAGTTCTTTGTAGAAGAAACTTAGGGGTGGTTGAGTAGCCTGTAAAAAAAAAATATATATATATAAAAAAAAATTAGAAGTGTATGCTGGGAAAATAGCCTTTTTTTGGTCCATCAAAGAATACTTGTGGTTTCCTTCACTGTTTTCCTGTGTTATCAGTCAGTCCTCTAATGATGGCTCTGCAGTTACTCCCCTGACAGAAGTTATTGATCAGCTTATTTTAACAGGTGGAGTTTCATGAAACAGAAAGTGCCAGTGCCATCAGAAAGCAAAGGGCTTCCGTGGCCAAAATGTCGCAGCGGGAAGAGATGGTTAAAAAGTGTCTTGGGGAACTTACAGACACGTGCAAAATGCTTGGGAAAGTCTTTGACGTGCATTACTTCAATATTTTCAGTACTTCAACGCTAAAGAAAATAGCAGGTAATGTCAGGTTGTTGTTACTCAAAACCCCTGTTGGCTGTAGACTGCACGTGCGATTGGAGCCTTTTCTGACAGAAAATCTTGAGTTTCTAACGTTTAACCAGACAGGCTGAGGTACAGATAACAGAGAGAGTCTTGCAGAAGCCGCTGACACAGCAGAGAGTCCTTGGAGCTGCAGTTTACGCTGCAGCAATCCTGCTGGATAAGTACCAGAGCCACCCAAAAAAACATATTGTAAAACAAACTTCGAAGCATTGTCAGAGAAAACTTTTGGACTGGTTTTTGTGCTAACCAACTAGAAGCAAACCTGCTAGAATAAAGGCTTGCTCCCTGAAGGACTTACTGGGGTGGTACTGAAAGGAATTCATTTCCTCCAGAATACTCTACCGTGATCTCTCTTAAGTAAAGTTGTTTGTTTGACATCTCTAATTGGTACTTTGTTACATTACAGAAACCTTGTCATCCGATGTGGAGGTTTTACTGCAGATTGATGGTGTCACAGAAGACAAACTGGAAAAATATGGTGCAGAAATAATTAAAGTGATGGATAAGTACTCGGAATGGACCGTACCAGGTTTCGTATACTTTGTACCTAACTGCTACTTTCCTGCTTAGTGCCCTTCTCTCTTCCTCTGTCAAAAGTTTCACTCAGAAATTACCTTGTTTTAAAAACAAAGAAGTAATTCTTGCAGTTTAATGCTTACAGGAAGGGAGCAATTGCACACTTTCAGAACATACAAAGGTCTTTGCTATCCTCTCATGTGTTAAATTCAGCGTGTCTCTGAAAGGCTGGGAAAGGAAAATGAGAACCAAGCAGACTGCTTTGGCCTGGCCTATTCGTTATTGGGATTTAATATGCGCAGTTATAATGAGGATTCTGACCTTAGGGTTAAAGGTCTTGCACCTCCTCAATATTTTTATACCTGCATCCACTATGTATGAGGTAACCTGGCAGATAATAACTACTACGTTTTATTTTTCATAGTAATGGAGGTCAGCAAGTTCAGGTCTTCACTGACCAGCTCTTGCTCAAATGTGAAGAACTTTCAAAGCTAGTTTTTTTTAAAAAAAAACCCAACAAAACCAAAGCTCTCAGGTCAGAATGGCAGTGTTTTATGATGCCCTTGAACAGCTCTAAACTTATATATAAAGTTCAGCCCCAAGACCTGTAAATCTGGTGATTTCACATGAGCGTAGCATGTAGCCTATGTGGTAATTAGAATATTGAACACAGCTTGGCTATCAGATTTGACACTGGGGCCTGCAATTCTGAAGTGATTCATGCTTACTTTTAAGGAGGTTGTGCTTTCACACACTGCAGTGTGAATTAAATGCATGGCTACAAACTTCATTTTTAAGTATTTTATTCTACTGCCTGTGCAAAGAATCACATCCCTCTTGGTCACGACTGATTGAGAAGGAGCTCTCGGCTCTCTGAGCCTTTCAGCGTCTCCTGATGCTGTTTTTAAAAACAAGGGCTGTATTTGATGGTAGTATTTATAGTATATTCCATAATTCTTTTCAGCTGACATGGGGAAGAGAGTGTAAGCCTAGTGTTACCAAAATAGTTTAGACACAAAGCCAAGCTAGAGAAAATAGGACTGGCCAGTATTCTTTTGTGTCAGGAGATAAAGCAAGGACAGAAGGCAGTTTTAGTTTACACCAGCCTATGAAACACCAGGAGCATCACCAGGATAAAGGCAGTGCAAAGGAGGTTCTGAACAGCAAGGACAGAAGTTCTGGGACAGTCAGTGTGTTCTGATGGTCCAGGCAATGTCTCACTGTCAGTAGTTTTAACTCCTTGTCTGTCTGTAGAAGATGCTGCCTGCCAAAGTGTGGACACAGCTCCGGGAAGCACTGGCACACCAGAGAGTGATGAAGAAACAGAAGATGTAGTTACAACCTCAAGCTATTTTTGCAATAATGCAAACCAAAGAAGGAAAAGGAAAAGGCCACCAAACTTCAGGGAATCAAAGAGGAAAAAGACAGGCAGTGGTGGCAGCCAGCAGTTTCATCCCAAAGGGTACGTTGCTTGTGGTCATTGGTAACTTTTCTTAGTCCAGAATTGCATGATGATGATCCCAGAATTGCAGTGTTACCCTACTGCATTTTTTTTTGAGTAAGTATGGGCTTTCAGAATGGCTTTAAAATTAACCAGGTACCTGGTAACAACTGCTCTACTTTGGTTTTTTGGCATTTTTTGTTTCAAAAGCTCCTGGCAAGGAAGGACATTTAACAATTGTTGTCTGTTTTTCACTCTTGACTGCCACAAGCTAACTAGTGACACTAAATTTCAGTGTGCTGCCATAACTGTTATTAACAGGCTGACTGGATTCTGTGCTTGGAAACATAATGACAGCTTGAAATGTTGAAGATCTGATGGAATATTTGAACTTCAGTTCCCCAGTCCCTTGTTAATTCAGAACTTCTCCCTCTGACTGTGCCATACAAGGGAATACCTGCATCAAGACCCCCATAGCATTTGGATCCAGGAGTCTTGAGCTCCTAAGGTCAATCCACCACCCAACTATCAGAGGGTGATGAAAAAGCCAGGCTGAGCCTCATCCTTTGAGTCCATGACCTTATTTTAGCAGTTCATGTAGTTATTAGTCTGGTAACTCCAGTAGCAGCAGTTTGTGCTGAAGGTTTGTGCTTCAAGCCATGATGATTAATCAGTGCTGAAAGGGAATGAACAGAAAAGGAGAAATGGCTGATGAAATTCTGCCTTTCCCCAAACCCTCAATAAAAACAGGGGGGAATGACAGAAAACTTGAGCAAGAAGTTCTTATTTGGGTTTTCTAGCTGTGCCTTTTAAAGGTTTGCTGTGCTCATAGCTTGCCTTGCACAAAAAGGAAGTGAAGTTGCCTGTACTGTGGTACGGTCAGGTTACTAAATCACTCAGCCTAGAAATTTTACCTCGTTTGGTACATGAGATAGAGAACACGAGGTACAAAAGAGCAGTTATGTGGACAACCTACATCTTGTATTTCTGAAATAATTCTTTAAATTAGGTTTTATTCGGTCTGTATGTGTCATAGAAATTGCATTATCTTTCTGCCAAGAGGAGTTCAAGCCATTTGGAAGAGCAGCTCTGAACAGTACTAATGTGTTCTCCAAAACATTCTGTAAAATCCCCACCTGAAGTGCCTGAATTTTAAGGATTGCTAGGTTTAACTGATGTATTAACTACATACTTTTTATTGCTTTAATGTTGCATTCATCATCAAAGAGAAAATATGGCCTGCCTTATTAAAACTCACTGCTTTCTGTCATCATCTGTTCTTTCCAAGGACCTCTCCTTCTCTGCCCTGTTTTTCCTCATTCTGGTCTTTGTTTTTTATAGCAGTTCCCAGCTCTGTAGGTTTTACTTCCACCCTTTTCACCTTCCCATCTACTAAAATATTAGTCATTAAATGCTGTTGGCCCTGAAGTGTCACTTAATGTTGATATTCTAATTGGATTAATAGGAGCCAGGCTGGTTCAGCATTCTCTGTTCCTGTTTCAGGCTGCTTCTTGCCCTTAGGCAAATGCCAGAGCAACAGCTACACTTGATTTCCATTTCAAGGGGGGTATTTTTGCAGCCATGTGTATTAAAAAACCAACCCCTTTTTTAAAAGCTAAGTCTTCTAGAAAATCTAGTGGTGGTGTATATGTAAGTACACCAGGGGTGTAGGGACTGTGGCAAGTAAAGATGATGTTTGACACGTACCTTCTCTCTAAATTTTGCAGCGGTTACAGCAACTTCAGAAGGACCAAAAGGCCCTTTAGCTCAAAGGCTCCAGCTTCGTCTGGCTACAGCTCAGCATCGTACAGTGTCAGTGCCACACAAGGAGCTGCTGCAAAGCTGGGGATTATGGCACCACCCAAACCCAAATCCAGACACTTCCTTCAGCCTTCATATTCAATATTGTAAGTAGGAACATGTAAATACTGTATAATAGCAAGCTCTGAAGATGTAATCACTGTTTATTAAATCTTTGTTTCATTTGTTGAACCTTCTGAGACTTTTATGTTCATCAAGTACAAAAACCTCACATTAAATAAACATTTTTAAACTCATAATTTGGACCTTTCCTTCTCCTGTCAACACACAGAGTTGTGACTGGGTCTAGAGACCCTAATCTCTCAGTGGAGATGATCTCAGTAAGCCTGCTTTACAGATTATCGGGGGTACCCGTGAGACCACAGCCCAAAAGTGGTTCCTGGAACTGCACATCCCAAAGCTGTGGCTGCCTCTGTTCTTCTCCCTTTGCTAGTTCTATAAGTACTTCAGAGCTCGATGGCTGAGCTGCTCTTCTGAAAATGTAAGTCTCGGGCTGTCCACCTGAGATAGAAAATATAATTAATGGTTGCAAGTGTCAAAGTTTATTCCCCAGGTACTGGGGCCTTACCCAGGGTGTGCTTTTTCTAGTTAATTTTAAAAAGAAAACAAAAGCCCAACTGTGCTCTTGTCCCCCCGCTCCTCACTGCCGCCCGCGGTCCGTCCCTCGCGGTGCTGACCCCGCTCGCAGCATCCCGG